AGATAAGTTTCTCGCAACGCTAAAAATTACATCGCCGATGAGCTTTCCTCGCAACGCCTGATGCATTTTGTGTTTATTTATCGTGTGTTTTGTTTGGGATAAACAGTCCACGATATAAACCCTCAAAACAAATTGTTTTAAGTAACCAAACACTTGGATCATGGCATAATGTAACATCATATAAATTCTTTGCTTGAAACGTTGACAAAGTGTGGCAAATATTAACCTCATGTAATTTTGTCAGCTTTGCAATTTTTCACCTCATATAATTTTTCACTATTTCACAACTTTAGCCTCAGTAATTTTCTTTGTTGTATAATTTAAACTGAGCGTAAAGTTTCATGCTCTGCAGTTTCTAACTTCACGTAATATTTTATCTGTACAAGTTTATTTCACACCAGATCTTTTGTTTTTATAAATCTTTGTTTTTGTTGAATGTTTCCATCATATAATTTATCTGAGGTCCACTCTTAATCTCAAATAAGAATTATTTGTTGTTTAAAATTTCACAATATTGTATGGCGAATTTAAATGTTGTTCATTGCTCTTTTTTAAACTTTGAGACTTGTTCAGTTGTAGTTTAATATTAGAGTTATAAGAATCGAACATATAAATGGAATTGAGGTTAAATAACACAGAAATACGTGGCAGAAGCCGAGGGCCCGGTTCCTAGTCGAGCTGGAGGGATTTATCGCGCCATCTGCACAAAAGATGCAGGTTAGAATAAAATTCAGGGGCGGTCGAAATGACGTAACGCTGTCGGCTTCTCCCCATTAACGGGACCCAACTACGAGTTTGCGACCGTAACGGCCTGCTCGTCTAGGCATGTTTTTCGTGCTGGGCGGCAGTGCTTGCAATAGATAGAATCACCGTCGTGAGTAGGAGAACAGCCACGACTAGGAGCCCCAAACTCCGCTCGTGCTACAACGCCCCCTATGGGTATTTTTGTTGTGGTCTTGAACGAAATTAAGATTCTTGCGGCGGTCTGGTGCCACTGCTGCTGCATGATTTGTTTATTAAAATTTTGTTCTCTTGTTGACTGCCATAACTTTAAATTTGTCGCCACATGTCTGTAATAACTTGTGTATTTGCACCCAGTTACTTTAATTCAGATTTTTATTTGTTTTTATTAAATGCGTGATATTCAAATAGTTGCATTGATTCAGAACATTTAATTTGATTTCATCCCATTTCATTCAAAGCTTTTTTTTTAGAGCTGAACATTAAGGGGTGTCTTTAGTCGCAGCTTTTTTTCTCATTTTGTTTGTCAGTGGAAGAATAAATAATTTTGTGTTTTACTTTGCGGTACTTTTCCAACCCTGGGGTCCACCATTTGCATCTGAACGCATCCCGCCATTTTTCAAAAACACAACGTAGGGTTCCATTTTGTCAGAGGATCACAGCCAAGGCCAAATTTTTGAATTTTGAATTTTTCGCGGGCTTTCAATTTTTTTTCACATGTCAATTTGAGGCGGGATGTTTGGGTTATCACAACGTCTTTATCAGAACTAGGGGAACTTCTAAATATGTGAAATTTTTATTCTGTCCTTACATCCATATATACAGGGCGCTATGGAAAGATATTTAAAAAAAAATGGTTGAAGGTTATTTCGATCGAACTTTTCTCACCACTGAAGTAAATTAAAACAAATGCAGCTTTCTCGAAAAATTATAAAATTTGGTTTTGTGAATTTTACTTTTTTATAAGAACCTTATAAAAGTTGAAATAAAAGTTATGTATATGTTAGGTTAAAGTAAATTAAAGAAGCATGCTGCGCGTCAGTTTCAAATGAAGTAAGTTTTGTTATGACGTCATCAACATTTTTCAAAGACACATATATCACTTTGGATAGGTGCAGCGTAATACTAATGATAACAGTATTGTATTCCCAAATTTTCAGGAAAATGGAGTAAGTCGTTCTCGATTTTAACAATTAAATAATTTGACTCATTCATTATTTTTTATGAGTCACTCTGTATAAAAAATTTAAAACAGATATATTTTGATTAAAAAGTTACATGCTTACGATAAGTTTAAAACGTCTGCAAAATTTCAAAACATTGGGTAGTGTAGTTCCCGATTTAATCAATAAAATAAATTGACTCTTTCATTCATTTTTTGAGTCAGCTTTTATAAGTAATTCTAAAAACTATGAGTGTGTCGATAAACCACAAGTATATAGTCATAATCTTTTGCATATTTCTGAGAAGATTTATTTGGAAAAATTTTAAGATGACAAATTTTTTTGGGAGGGGATAAACGAATACATTTTTCTTAACGATTTACCATGATTACGATAGGATAACCTTAAAATTTACATGATTTCAGAGCATTCGGTTTTGCAGTTTCAAAGTTAAATTGCAAAATATTATTATACAGATTTGAATTTTTTTTTTTCAAAAATCTGGATGTCTGGGGTGAAAATTCGACACGGATTCACACACCACGAGTGCAGAAGTATTTTATTTTGAAAAATTTAAGAAAAAGTTACTATTATAAATTTTGGAGATGACGTCATCCCATTGGTGGTGGGGATGACTAGTCAAATTTTGGGTAGCACGATATTCCTAATATATACAAAATTTGACAACAATCGGTCCGCTAGTTTCGGAGATTACGTGTCTAATAGAAATGGATACAGACGCCGGACAGGCAGACAGACGGAAACGGGAGACCACTTTTTTCGTACTCTAGAGGTATATACGTATTGGAAATATGAGAATGCAATTCTCCCGATGGACTCGATTATTATACTTCCTTAGCTTACGCTTGGAAAGTAAAAAAGATTGAATTGAGGTGTCCCAGTTTGAATTAAAATTTCGCGTTAAAAAAAAAAAAAACGACGGTGCATTTGAATAATTTGAACTTGAAAAGTATATTAAGAATATTTGTCGTTGTATGTTTAATTCAAAAAATTAATCATACTAGTGCCAGTTTCCCCCAACGAGCGTAATTATCATTAATATTTTTCTAATCTCAAATGTGGCGCGGTTTCGCTGATGTCGGCACGGGTTGTAAATTTTGTTTATTGTTTGTAAAATTCACAACTCATGTTAAGATTTTTAATTGTTCCTGGTTCTGAAACAATTTAACAGTCATGAAATTGTTCATATAAATCAGGTGTTAGAAAATTCACTTATTCAAGCTTCACTATTTTGTTCATCAATTTATAGCTAATGTTTCTGAATGTTTCTACTTATGAATTACATTATAACATAGTTAATTTCCCACTCGAGATTGCTCATACTTCATTTATGGCATCTAAACTGTTCTAAACATTGGTCCACTTTAGAAGAAAGCACTTTGAAAAGTTGCGGTTAAATTAATATCCTCGTGGACTCGAAAAACGAAGGGGTTTAATATTTTCTTGCAGGTGTAATAGTTTGTTTCAGGCAAGTGTGGCATAATTTAACATGATGTAAATCCTTTGTTGTTTGAGATTGTTGATAAAGTGTGACATAATTTAGCTTCATGCAACTTATTTCTTGCTAAAAGATCGTGATACAGTGTCGTATAATAGAAATTTGTTAACTTTGCAGTCCAGGAATTTCAGTCAGTTTTCTGATTTGTTCCCAACTTTGCACGTTCAATCAAAAATTAACAAAAAGGGACGAGATCAAGTTTTTCAAGTTGTTCTCGCAAACCGTCTTAAATTTGTTCGCATGGGGTGTATATGGACTTCATTGTACTTTATTTAAGGGTGTCTTTTCAACCTTAAGGTTCACCATTCTGTATTCGGGCGCATTTTGTCTTAAAAAAAAACCACACAACGTAGGGTCCCACTTTTGTTGACGATCACAGGCGAAATTTTGGATTTTTCTTGGCCTTTAAGTTTTTTTCACATAATTATAGTGCTTCAGAGACATTAGCGAGGAATTTAGTTGGGTTAATTAGAATTTTTCTGTTGCCAGATCAAAACTGTATTTTATTTTAGACTTAAAATTATCTTTTTAAGAACTTTGAAGACGATTTTAATTTTTTTGAACTCCTCTCCACCAAAAATTCAGTTTCGGAGTATGGATTTCTAAAGTACATTTAGAAGGCACCATCACTAAAGCATCAGTCACATAACCTCTACCACCAAAATTTCACCGAAACTGGTCGAAGATTCCCGAACTAGGTACGTCTGTCGAAATCGTATTGGCCAACGAGTTCCGAATGGAATGAGACGAATTCAACTATACTCATGTTTCTTCCGAGGTATTTTCAAGTTTTATTAGATTTATTTGTTTAAGGTTCCCGTTTACATACACACCTAAATTTTGCAGTTTTTATTTTTTTCAAATGACCTCGGTTAAATTTCGAATTTCTAAAACTGTGGCTTGGAAAATACCCGACTATAAAAAACAAAATCTTAATTTTCTCAAGCTTTGGTGCGCAGTTATCAATGCTATAAACGAAGTTTAGGTGTATTTTCACTTATCAGTGTATGATAGCTTTGATATTCTTTATTAACCGTATAAACGCATCGTACGAAACATCGCAATAAATCAAAGCTTTTTCCAACTGTACAACGTGAACTGAATTAATTGTATCCATACTTGAACCTGTTTTGTCAATTTGACTGTGTTTCTGTATTAACACGCTTTCCATGCGCATTTTATTTTCTCACTGCTTAATTCTGACGAATTAAGTGAGAAAATTTACAGTAGTACACATGTTAAAACACTGACGTATTGGAACAACAAATCTTTACGCTTTTTTTTTTAAATCAAATTCTATGGTTTTATTCAAATCCAGTTTAACATTAATTGTAGTGTTAATGTAGGTTTTGTTTGACATCTTTTATTACAGCAGAAGCAAGTGGAAGCGCTTTTTGTCGATATTTCACGAACAGCTATTAAAAAAAGATGCAAAATACAGTAGTCTTGCTTTCCTATAATGTATACATCTTTCATCATGGAAAACCGTTTTGTGCGTTCTTACAAAATTACATACATCTGTAAAAGTTTTCCCACAAGACATGACACAGCAACGGTTGCGAATATAATCGTATGAATTACTTTTAAAAGTTTATTAAAAAATAATAATAAACAAATATTCTCGTAAATGGAAAACTTTGAAAAACTGAGACTAAAACAACGCAAAACCGATGATGAACATAAACCAAATTTAAAACCCACATAAACTGACTGAACATTCTAAGATATTAACGTTCATTATAATGATAAAACAACAACAGTCTTGTACATGGCATGAATTTACATGGAAACTTAAAGAACAAGTAGCCCTATTCGTGCGACGGTCCTGGGTGGTTATTCCCGGCGTGGTTTGTGAAGTAATTGGCAGAATTGGTTTGACTCAAGTTGGCAACGAAATTGTTCATAAAAAAATTCGGCGTGAAACCCTGACTCATCCCAGTATTATTGTTCTCACTGCCACTTCCAGGATTATAGACCATTCCGGCGTACTCAGCTGGAAACATCTGCAAGCCAGTTCCGGCCTGATGATAAAACGTCATATGATGAGCCAGGTTGGGTGGAGGTACCGACGGATCGAACACCGGTACAGACGAATTAATGTGAGGGGCTTGGGCTCTCTTCGACTTTGCTTTGTTCAAGCGAGCCTGCTTATAAGAATCCATGTACTTGTTGAATTTCGTATTAAGCAGGTTTCTACGATTCATGGTACTTTCGAATTTCTTATGACTGTCGCTACTGTGTGTTCGTTTAACATGAGGGGTAAGCTTCTTATTACCGAAACGATGAAAACACTCATTTTCATCGTCGGAATAATCGGCGAATTCTGAGGGGACTTCATTGTCCCCAAACCACGACGCGTCGCTACCTTTCATTCTAAAAAAGATGTATTTATTATAGGTACAAGGAGTACATTAAATAATAACTCACTTGAGCAATTGCTGAAGGAAAACGTATTGTGTGTGTTTGCTTGTAGGTGCGGAATATACTTTCATTCCAATTTGGATTTGTAGATTTTTTATGTCATCCGTTGAATTAAATCGGACAGCGTAGATGGGAGATGTTACTTGTCCCAAAACATCAAAAACGAACCCAAGAGGCCTTTTGCCATTATCGAGGAATAGTAAAGTATCTAAGTCGTATGCTGGAGTGTTTGGTATGGCTGCTACTGTAACTGTAAGAGGCGTGATTATTAAGAAAATATACAAAACAATTATAATTAATTACGATATACAATTTGTTATTGAAAATTTTTACTTTATGAAAATATATTTTACATTTTTAAAGTCGGTGGTGACGATTTATGTTTCAAATAAAAATTTAATCAGTGTAATGGCTTGGTAATTTTTATTAATATTTTTTGATTAATTAAAATGGTAATGAATTTTACATTAATGTAATTATATCTAAAAATAAACGATGCTTTACAGTCTTGATGAAGCAACCCATAAAATTTATATATTGTGGAAATGAAAACTACGGAAACTCTGAGAGGAAAAAAAGCAATAACGATTCTTTGTAAGGCCCAAAAAGGATACCAGTGAAGTTTTTCTTTACAAAATCGTTTATGCACATTTTTTAATGAATCAATACGTAAGTCCGTTGAGTTCCTCAAACTAACAAGTTATATTTAGGTAGTTGGGATAAAATAAACCTAGTACTAAAATTTATCAGAAGTATTTTTAACCAGGGTTGGATATTTGATATCGCTTTATATTTTATAATTAATGTTAAGTTATGCTTGTTCTTAAAATAAAAAAATGGTCTAGAATAGTAAGACGGAATTTCCTTTGTCCTTGAAATACAGTCTAACAAATACAGCTTCTTCGAAAAATGATAAAATTTGATTTTGCGAATTTTATTTTTTATATAACTCCTATAAATTAAATAAATTGAGGCGGATTCATAAACTAAAAATTTTGGCTTTTTATTTTATAAAATTAAACATTTACTGTTGGAAATTTTTAGATAACGTCAAAATCAGATAAGTTTTGGTTATCGTTTTATCATCCACACGATACTTTTAAAATACAAATACAACCTGATAACAATCAGTCCAATAGTTGCGGAGATTGTCTTATAAAAATCGACACAAACGAGAGACGATAGACAAACAGACGGAAACTGCATAACTAGCGTTTTATTTTGTTGGAAATATTTTATTCTTGTCAGTGATGAATTTGTTTGGATTTAAAATGCATTTACAAGGAATGAATTATATTGTCGTAATTTGAAAAGAAAACTGAAAAAAAAAAGAATGATTTAAATAAGTCATTTTTTTTTAATCACTTGGCTTCAATTAAATCCTGTTTCAATTTAATTTTTGAGTTACCTATTAATTTTAGTGCTAAATTTTTTTAAACGATGTATTTTTGTCAATACCTACTATTAAATGCTCAAAGAAATTATCCAGGTATTACATTCATGAATTTTTGTTCAAATATTATTTAAGATTTACAAAAAGCTTTTATTTTGAACTTTATATACTTTAAAAATATTTTCAGATGTTTACATCTTTACACGAACATTTTCAAAAAGACTGGACAAACGTTAAAAAAAAAATTCAAAAGTGAAATTCTAAAAAACGAGTTCGATGGGAATATTTTGGACATCGTATTTTAAAAAATGGGCCGGGCGGCGTTCCAAAAACTCTTGAGCGGGTTACCGGAAGTCTCGATTGCGGGGCCCGGAAAAGCTTCGAAGCGGCGTTCTCGATCCATCAAGAGGCATGTAAGTTTTAAATAGAGGCCATCGTCGGGAACGATTATCATTCAGCCAGTTCAGTCAAGACAGAGTCCAGACAAGTTGTGCCAGAATTATTTTACACATAATAATTGTTGTGTAATTAGTCGTGTAAATTTGAGTTACTAAGAAATAAATTGTTAAGTTTTACCCACGCCGATTTTAATTACCGATCATTGTAACAATATATTTTGGAATTGATATTCCCCATGGATAAATCTGTTCGAATAAAGTATATTATTATTATTATAAAATTAACAATTGTGCTCACTTTCACTGAGTTTTATTTCTTATTCTTATTAGTAAGAAATGTACATTTTAGGATATATCCTGAATTATTTCTGTACCTGCGAGCGCAAAGTGCGTAACTCCAAATTGTCAGTTTTCAGTGAGAGCAATTATTTGTGGCTCGTTTTACATACCAGACAAATTATTAGCTTATTCTAAATATATAATACAAAATATTGAATATAACAAATAAAAAATTGTAAATACCTGAATTAGACAAAAAAGCGTCAACATTTTTTAGCAAAAAATACCCATTATCCAATTTTATGTAAAAATGGATTTATGCACTTTGGGCTCTCAGGTACAGATTTTCTAAACTCGAAAAAAATATTTTCAAATATAACTTGGTCACCGTTCAATATTAAGTAAATTAGAAAAAAATGCTTAACCGACCCAGTCGTGATAAAAATCAAATAAACGTACATTTGAGAAATTTGTCGCCCAACACGTAGCCATTATTATTATTTTCTAAAAGATAGTTTCAAATTTTTCCCAACCATAAGCTAACGGTTACTTTTGTTTTCCCGGCGTTTTATGATCACATTAGTATGAAAATAAATAAATAAGTTTCCCGTTTCTATCTGTCGATTTTTAACGATGATCTCCAAAACTACAAGACTGACTGTTGGGTAATTCCATATGTTACTACCGTTAAGGTATGTTGATAGGTTAGAGACAAAAAAAATGAATGTGTTGTCTCCAACTCAGTTTTGTACAAATCACAATTTAATTTTGTTCTCCCACTAATGGTCATCTTTTAACAGTTTTTACACAAATCGTATTTTGGACTGTAACCTACATTTTCCTGTCGCATTTTAGAAATATCGTGTAGACTGTAGATGATCAGACGCTAACCAAAATTAGTTTCGCCATTCTCATCAATAATAATAATAATAATTTGATGGCGTCGCCTCACAATTTTTCACAGTAAATGCTACCTAAATTTTATAAAATAATCAATTTAAAAAAAAACCTATAACATTTTACAATTTAACTTAGAAACTACAAAACCTTCTGAAATTATTGAATGCTTTGAAATTTTGTGAAGATTTTAAGATTATATATTTATGTTTATTCTCCCCTAAAAACTTGATGCGTCAACTAAAAATTTTGCTGAATAAATCTTGCCTGAAATGAGGAAAATATTATGATTCTGTACTTGTGGTTTATCGATACTTATATATTTTTTAGAACTGATTGGATAGGACGGCTCAAAGAATTTATGAATAAAGGTATTTATTTTATTGATCAAATCAAGAACGGTTGACCCCATTTTCCCAAAAATTTGCCAGAATATAATACTGTTATTCTACCTATTACAGTGCACCCAGCGTTGCGGAAAATCGCATTCAAAAAATCAAAAAACAATATATTTTTTAAATCACCATATTTTTAATTTTACAATTGTTTCGAGTTTAAACTCTAAAACTAACACGAAAAATCTAAAGTTATTAGTTTTAATTAAGTAAATTTATTTTTTGATAGCGCTTTATATTTTATTTAGTTATTGTAGTTATCATTTTCCACGTATTTTAATACACATTCCCAAGTATGCGAAACCGTATCGTGTTTTTTTATTTGCAGTTTTGAGCAATAAAGATAATTTATATTTATTTACATTGCTAAATAGCAACAGTGTGCAATGTTTATGTGGATATTTTTCATTAATGTTTTGTTCCAACTTCCCTCGGTTTCGAAATACCGTCCAGCAAATTCAGCTTCTTCGAAAAATTATAAAATTTAATTTGGTGCAGGTGATCAGGCAAATTTTAATTATTGTTTTACCATCTACACGATATTCCTAAACTACAGATAAAACAATCAGTCCCATAATTTTTGTCTAACAAAATCGACACAGACGAGAGACGACAGACAGGTAGGCACACGGAAACGGGGACCTATTTTTTCATACTCTAGAAGTCATGAAATGTCGAGAAAATATGATAGCATATGTGATACGTCGCCGGATGAACCCTGTAATAATATTTCGCTAACTTACGCTCGGGAAGTAAAAAATTAAAAGAAAATTTGCATTTTATTTTGTTGGCAAAATGTTTAAAAAGAAAATTGAAACGTGATTTAAATCTGGCCGACTCTTACCGCATTTATTAGAAATGATATTCTTGTCCTTGTGTAATTTTGAAGACGTCATCAAATATTTGAGAAAGCAAAAACTCACTTGAAATAACATGTTTCTTTCCAAATTCAAATTTTGTAAATTTTCGCTTAATTTGCGGAGAAAATTTTGTCTAATACTTTGGATTAATTTTCATAATTTTGATTTGGATAAATATATAAATTTTAAAATAAAGAAAATAATACTTATTATAACCAAAGATAAAGGAGTATGTCAAGCTGCAAATGTCAAGTGAGTGAGATCTACAAAATTTTGAGATGTTATTATTTTTTTTTGTGTGTCAAGATTTTGTGAAATTTTGAAATGCCGCTTTTGACATAATTGACACAATAAAACGACTATTTTGAACCAGTGTTTATAAAAATTTTAAAAATATATAAATCATAATACCAAAGCTCAACAATTTTCAATCACTCCTTTTTACTGTGGGTAACTGCTGTATTTAAACTTTAAATTAGAGAAGGCCGTTATTAAATTTTTGGAAAGGTCGAATAAATTTCCGTCAATATTTCTTCAACATCTAAAGCTATAATCCTTAGCATGCTTTAGATTTCAGAGTCTCCAGTTCACTTACTTTTGATTATCTAACAAAATTTTCGAGTGCAGCAAATCTGTTTGCCTGGCCAAGACCTTCTCCTATTGTAAGAGTATCTAGAGTTCTGAACTCTAGGAGTTACCAAAGCGCAAGAAAATTCTATATTTGTTAAAATGATTCTTCAAGATGATTTGAAAAAAAAATATACTCATAATTTGAAATCATTGATAACTCGAACTAATCTTTATGATAGTATCACATAAGATGGAAAATACTTTGATAAGTCGAATTTCAATACTCGCACACTTGAGACCTTGGATTATATTTATATTAGCGATACATTTCAACTAATCGGACTTTTAAACATTTTTTACGATAAACTTTTAAAAATTTGAAGTTTACTTCTACTCATTAATTTCCCCTTAAAAAATCATCACAAGGTTGTTTTTCTGATCTATCGCACAAAAATAGATATAACGTTGTAACTACTGTTAAAAATTAATTTTTCAACGTTCTAAGTTCATAAACATTACAAGACGAATCCATGTATTCATTTCCGAATGAGACAGTGGTAAGAAGACATTGAACTACAAACTGCAAGCGCAAGACTGGAACTATGACTCATCATTATTTTGTTATGTAAATATTCAGTTTTTTTCCCACGACTTAATCATCCACTTCCCACTAATACACCAGTATTTGAAGAAAGTTTGATGATAAATATAATGTAATAAAAGTCAAATTAAAATATAATTTCAACAAAAACTATTTGGAAAATTTTAAATTCTTCAGAATTGAAAATCAACATAAACGGGATTGCAATGCCATCAGTTTTTGAAAACTCATTATTTTTTCACAATGGAATTATCAGTTACATCACAAAGTCCACATCATACAAAAAATTACCTAGTTTATCCACAATTCCTAATACATTGCCCATGTGCACAAAGTTCTCATCCTCAACACTAATGTTGAGCTTTGACAGGTCAGGAACAGGCGGTAACTGTTCTATCGATAAGTCCCCATCTGTTTTTTGAACGGCGTTATTCTTTCGAATGGCTCCTCGATTTTGGGACGGATCAGATTCCGTGGGGCTTGTTTCCTCCTCGTCTTCACTAGTTGAATCACTATCATCGTCATCGTCATCGTCGTCTTCGCTCGATGAAGACGAAGACGACGAAGATGACGTCGAGGAGTCTCCGGAACCTTCCCTAACCTGCCAATTGAGGTTAAGTTTCTCCATTTCCGAGGATGAACTGGAATCACTATCATACACTAAAAGGCTATTAAGTGACTCCGATTCGCCAGTTTTTATTGCTACGCCTTCGTTCACCTCACTGGTGTTCGGTTGGGGGACCTTTTCAGTGGCATTTGCTTCACAAACATTTGGATCCTGATTTTCTGGAATAATTTTCTGGAGAGTGAATACGACAGGAGCGAAGGGCGTATTTACCTCTGTTAATTCCTGGATTTTCACTTTTCTGGGTGGGTAAAGTCGTTGTGTTTTCCGGTTGTTGGCTGTCCATGTTTTCGCGGTTATTTTCGTTTGACATGTTGTAAGGTGATGGAAAATGATTGAAATTTAACGTGAACTAATACTCAATCACTACTATGGTAAAGAATACTGCAAACATTTAATGGAAATTAGTAATTTTACAAACATGTGGAGAGGCTCATGTTTGTAAGCCGCCATTTGCCGATGGAAACTCGCAGCACGTGATCTAGTCCGGTGATGCGATTGGCGGGATTTAGGGTTTTCTGTATAGCCAACAAGGTGACTGACAGCTTAAGGTGCATTTACACGACGCGTTTGTTAAAGGTCATCGTACATTGGTTGATAGGTAAAATTTTATAAATCACAAACTATAGCAACAAAGTTCTCTAACAATAAACAGAATATCTTAGAACAAATTTTGAAGAAGATTTGTTTTTTCAATTCTTTGCATAGAAAACAAACAGATTATTCCTTTAAGTTAGCTAAATTATTTCTTTTATTTCTTTGTGGTATTTTTATACGAATTTCATAATACATTTAACAAAACCGTGGGCAAGCAAACAAATATTCACCCATGTTACGTTTTATTCATAAATATTAAAGCCTGCAGACTATATGTACATAAAAGTGTATTTTATTATTATTGTGGTCCAAATTATAATAATACAATAATATAATAATATAATATTTTTATATTTTTATAAGTACCGCGAACTATCGATATTGTATTTTAATATTTTGTATAGAATTAAATACTAGCTACCATAAAGATTTATGGTAGGTAACAAAATTTTCCTAAAGGTTAATGCATGTTTTGTTATGATGACTGTAATTTGCATTAATGTGGATACTGTCTATTAACACCAGACGGTTTGCTTGACGAGATTAATAGTCAAGTGCTCAAGATTATACTTACATTTTAATTGTCGATTATACAACTTACACTTTTTGGATGTCATATTATTTTCGAATTTATAGCCCACATATTGAGTGGCTTCTTAATTTGATCTCGAATGTACTCACAGTTCGTCTGAAAGAAGTTTATTTTTTATTGTGAAAAATGTAGTTGGAGCTGTTAATCAAACAGTTATCAATTCAATTAATGATGCGGTCTTCGTACTATAATAGTAGAAAGTATAGAAAGCATCTGCAACCAATTTTTGAAACATGAGTTGTGAGTTTGTGACAAAAGATGTTTAAATGAAATTAAAATGTATTGATCCATCCCATGTAGAACGCTAACAACGTCATCGCAATAATTTGTGAACTAATTATTTACTAAAAAAATTGGTCTAAAGAGTTTAGACAGTACTTCCCTCGCTGTGGGAAACGTGACGACTTCATGGCTATTATGTTTTTTTTCGCATTAGATTTTTGTAGCGCGGCATTTTAAAATAAATTGAATTAATTTTTTTCAATTTTGTCATTATTTGGCAAATATCGAGAAACGAGTACCAAATTGACCAATGGACTCCATTACTGTACGTTCTTAGATTATTATCCTCGATAAGAAAAACAACTTGAAAGTGTTTATGTTTGTTTATACATCGGAAGAATGTCACGTAAAAATTAAGTTTGATTTGAATAAGTTCGACCCCTCAAAACAGAGGAACAAAACGATTAACCAGTAAGCTACAGTCGACAAAATGTTCTGAATATCATTATTATAATTCTTATTAAATAAAGACGTTTGTATCTTCACATTTTCGAGGAAATAGGACGACTCGTTCTTAATTTGATCAATAAAAAATATGAATGCTATGATGAATCACAAGTAAAAGCTCATATTTTGCACATTTTGGGTAGAATTTATTCCGCAAAATTTTGAGATAACGTCATTCATTTTTTTGGGGACAATAAACAGATTTATTTGGATTAACACTTTACAATTAATTGGCTCAGTCATTAATTTTTTTCAGACACCCCGTATAAGCTGATCTAAAAAATATTAATGCAGTATAGACTCATCATTCTTTACACATTTAAGATTTTTTCAGCAATTTTTTTAGGGGGGATGAACAAATACATTTTGATAAAAAATTTACCATGCTTATGATAACTTTAAAACATCTCCAAGATTTCAAATCACTGGGTTTTGTAGTTTCTGATTAGATCAATAAAAAATTGGTCTAAAGAGTTTAGACAGTACTTCCCTCGCTGTCGGAAACGTGACGACTGCATGCCTATTATGTTTTTTTTTCGCAGTGGATTTCAAAGAATTCGGTTTTGTAGTTCCTGAGTAAATCAATAAAATAAATTTACGTATTCATTAATTTTTTTGAGTCACCCTGTATATGCAAATCCAAAAAAAAATCAACGGAGTGATAAATCACAAGTACAGACTCATCATATTTTGTACAGTTTAGATAGGATTTATTCGGCAAACTTTCGAGCTGACGTCATCAATTTTTTGGAGGGGATAAGCAAATGTATTTTGACTAAACATTTATTATGCTCTTTATAACCTTAAAACATCTGCAAGATTTCAAAGCATTCAGTTTTGCAGTTCATGATTAATTCAAAAAAATAAATTTACGCATTCATTAATTTTTTTGAGTCACCCTGTATATGCAAATCCAAAAAATATGAATGGAGTGATAAATTACAAGTACAGACTCATCATATTTTTACAGTTTAGATAGGATTTATTCGGGAAACTTTCGAGCTGACGTCATCAATTTTTTGGAGGGGATAAGCAAATATATTTTGACTAAACATTTATTATGCTCTTTATAACCTTAAAACATCTGCAAGATTTCAAAGCATTCGGTTTTGTAGTTTCTGAGTAAATCAGTAAAATAAATTTACGCTTTCATTAATTTTTTTGAATCACCCTGTATATGCAAATCCAAAAAATATGAATGGAGTGATAGATCACAAGTACAGACTCATCATATTTTGTACATTTGAGATATGATTTATTCGGCAAACTTTCGAGCTGACGTCATCAAGTTTTTGGAGGGGATAAGCAAATATATTTTGACTAAACGTTTATTATGCTCTTTATGACCTTAAACCATCTGCAAGATTTCAGAGCATTCGGTTTTGCAGTTCATGATTAAATCAAAAAAATAAATTTAAGCATTCATTAATTTTTGTGAGTCACCCTGTATATGCAAATCCAAAAAATATGAATGGAGTGATAAATTACAAGTACAGACTCATCATATTTTTACAGTTTAGATAGGATTTATTCGGCAAACTTTCGAGCTGACGTCATCAATTTTTTGGAGGGGATAAGCAAATATATTTTGACTAAACATTTATTATGCTCTTTATAACCTTAAAACATCTGCAAGATTTCAAAGCATTCGGTTTTGTAGTTTCTGAGTAAATCAGTAAAATAAATTTACTCATTCATTAATTTTTTTGAGTCACCCTGTATATGCAAATCCAAAAATATGAATGGAGTGAAAGATCACAAGTACAGACTCATCATATTTTGTACATTTTAGATATGATTTATTCCACAAACTTTTGAGCTGACGTCATCAAGTTTTTGGAGGGGATAAGCAAATATTTTTTGACTAAAGATTTATGATGCTCTTTATAGCCTTAAAACATCTGCAACATTTCAAAGCATTCTGGTTAGCCGATTAAAAATTAAATTTCAAAATGTTGTTTTATAATTTTGATTTTTTTTCCAAAAATCTGGACGTTTCGGGTGAAAAGTCGATTCGGAGTTGTAAACTACATGTGTAGGACTATGTTTTTTTATACAATTGAAAACCCATTTACTATGTAGAATTTTGAAGTGACGTCATCGCATTAGTGGTGGGGATGATTAAACAAATTTTGGTTAGCGTTTTACCATCTACATGATATTCTTAATATAAGTACAAAATTTCACAACAATCGGTCGAGTACTTTCGAAGATTATCTGTCTAATAAAAATCCGGGACGGCAGACGGACAGACGGACAGACGGACAGACGGACAGACAGACGGACAGACAGACGGACAGACAGACGGAAATGGGAGACCTATTTCTTCGTCTTCTAGGGGTCATGAAAGATCGAGAAAACGTAAAAGTTGAGAGTCGGCCGACGGACTCGATTACAATACTTCCTTTGTTTACGCTCGGGAAGTAAAAACATTCACGCATTCATTAATTTTTTTCAGTCACCCTGTATATGCAAATTAAAAAAATATCAATGGAATGATAAATCACAAGTACAGACTTATCATATTTTCTACATTTTAGATTGGATTTATTCGGCAAACTTTTGAGCTGACATCATCAATTTTTTGGATGGGATAAGTAAATATATTGTGATTAAAATTTTATCATGCTTATCATAACTATAATAAACCATCTGCAAGATTTCAAAGCATTCGGTTTTGTAGATTCCAAATTAAATATCAAAATGTTGTTTCTTAATTTTGATTTTTTTTCCAAAAATCTGAACGTTTCGGGTAAAATCTCAATTCGGAGTCATAAACTACATGTGTACAGTTCCTACACTACATTAGTAGTTTAGTACCTAGTAAAATTTTACAACCGCTACTTTGAGGGATTGTCGGACAATGACCCCAACAAAAGGAGCGTGCCGCCAGTGTATAGTGGGCTAGAAACAGCCAGGATTGCATTGAATTTGTGATTTACGGTATTGTGGGTCCAACCTTCATGGTTAACTTTGAAATACCAATAAAATTTTATTAGATATGTACTGTTTAATTGATGGAACTGTAAGATTATGTTATTTGATACAATTTAGAACCCAATTACTATGTACAATTTTGAAGTGACGTCATTACATTAGTGGTGGGGATGATTAGACAAATTTTGGTTAGCGTTTTACCATCTACATGATATACCTAATATAATTACAAAATTTGATAATAATCGGCCCAGTACTTTCGGAGATTATCTGTCTAATAAAAATCCGGGACGGCAGACAGACGGACAGACGGACAGACAGACGGAAACAGGAGACCTATTTCTTCGTCCTCTAGGGGTCATGATAGGTCGAGAAAATGCAAAAGAAGAGAGTCGGATTCGATTACAATACTTCCTTTGCTTACGCCCGGGAAGTAAAAATATACTTCGAGATGCAACGTTGTTTGTGCTTTGGCAGAATGTTAAAAAAATATTAAATGACTCACTGAATTTTATTGCTTCAGTTAAAAATGGTTTATCTAATCCCTCAAAATTCTAAAAACACTATATTATCCTTATTACCGTATGCCTACCTACTAAAAGTGATTTATCTTTTTTTAAAAAAATATTTTT